AGAGCATGGAGCACAGTACTTGTGTCCATTTGTGTTTTTAGAAGGCAACAGAGAAAGTGTCTGAGAAGCTGCGCTACAGGAACTCTTCTCCATGATCTCTATTCTCGCCAATCAACTGAGCCATGATGCCACCTTGAGAGTTCACATAAATCTGTTCCATCTCCTACGCCCTGACTACCACAGGGCTGTTCAGGAGATACACGAAGGGTGCATGTGAATGTTCACAGCAGTACTCATCACAATAGTCAAGACAACCCAAATATTGATCACCTGGTGGATGGATAAGCACACTGTGGCCACCTGCACAATGGAATACTCGTGAGCAGTAAGAAATTCCGATACATGCTACAACGTGGAAGAACCCAACAACATGATGGCAAGTGAAAAAGGCATAAATCTTTAGGAAAGCAAGTCTCATATAGAAAACAGATGAGCAGTGTCCTGGGGCCATGGGAGAATCAAGGACAGAGTGCAAATAAGTATCACTAAGGGGTGATGGCAATGTTATACAACCAGGTTGAGGTGGTGCTTGTACATCTCCATCAAGTTGCCAACAAATCACTGAACTGCACCTTTGCATGGAGTGAATTTCATGGTTCATCTGAGAAATACACCTTGGTTTTGAGCTCCCGGGGCAGTGAGTAGCTGAGGCTCTCAGAGATCCTTCACGGGCCAAGCATAGCTGTCAGCCCCAAACACGTATTAATCTATTGATTCTTCCAACTCTAAGGATAAGAAGCAATATCCTCGTATCACAAAAGAGGGCAGAGCACAGAGAAGCCAGGGAACCTGCCCCAGGTCAGAGAAAGTGGCAGCTGAGCCAGGCTGTGAAAATAGGCAGCCGGATTTCAGGGTGCAGTATCCAGGCTAGTACCCACCTTCTCCCCCCTTTAATGCCTTTTCTTCTTTCCCTGAAAACTGTGTCACCTCCACCGTACTCCTGCCCTAGGACTCTCCAGCTTCACCGTCAGACTTGCCCTTGCATCTGACTCTGTATCACTTGTGAAGCTGACTCTTCTGGTCCCTCCATATCCATAGAATACATTTCAAGTGAATTAACAGCTCTTTACAAACTAAATGACTGTGACTGATCATCCTGTATATGTACAGGCTCTTTATGGGAAGTAGAAAATAGAGTTGAAGAGTGTATGTGTACACTCAATGGGAACACTGCCACCCCAAAGAAACTGCTATGCTCTCTGGCCTGAGACAAATACATACCCCCACCCCGAAATGCATAATGAAAACCTTCACCAGTCCCAATACATTCTAGTTAGGGAATGACTGTGCTTGGTCTTTGATTACAAGGGGGTTTTGCCTTGCCACTTACTCCCCCTCTACTGCAGGCAGTGTCTCTTTTGGGGAGTTCCTCTCAAACAGTGCACAATCTCAATCACTCTTAGTAGAGCAAAGGATGGAGGGCATGGATGGAAGTGAGCACATGGGTTCTCTAGAGCCTGCTTCCTTCCCTTGGGGCCCGTGCATTCTGCTGGTGACTGTTCAGCTGTACCCTGACACCTGGGTGCTCCCAGTGGCTGTCAACTGGCTTCCTCTGGGTCCTGCTGCCGTAGGACAACCCTGACAAAAGCTCTGTGGCTCCTGAGGGTCACAGCATAGAAAGCTCTTCCCTGGGGTGCTGGTTTCATGTCGATACCAGAAATACCCTTCTCTCCATCCTCGGTACAATTTGAAGATATTCTGCTAGCTGTGAAAATAATAAATGCCCCAAGCTCTTCAGTATTAGAACTAATACTCAAAGGCAGAAAACTGAACATGTGAGCCAGTGGAGTCTGGCTCCTGTTTGGGATGGAGGACCATTTTAGGTCCAACAGAATTCCTGGTATAAACTCAGAAAAGGCCCCTTACTGCTCATTTAGGGGCACTGGGAAAATGTCTTTTAAGAAATGTCCCATACACAAGATTGCCAGAAACATTTTTCGAAAATACTAATCTGATAGCATCACTGCACTCACCTCGTGATAGAACCTTTCAAGCTTCCTGTTTTCCCACATTCAAATCAGAATACTTCAGCTGAGCCTCAGTACCTCCCACACCCTGTTTCCTCCTCTAGCTTTGTCTCTCCCCTCTCTTCAATCACCCCTATGAGTCCTAAGATTCATCATTTCTTTCTTTTAAGGCTTTGGCACCCTGACTTGGGCAGCCCATCCCAACCTCCCACTTTGCTTTCAGGCTGTGCTCTTGTACCAAGCCTTCGAATACTCCCTCAGCTCTCCCCTTCTCCCTGCTGCAGGGTGAGTGATGTGACCCCAAAGCATGCTAGCTGTGTCACTGGAGTAAGGCCACCCTACACTGACCTAAGGGTGTGGACTTGGCTGTTGGCTCAGTGAAACCCAAGACACCTGAGCTTAGGGGCTGCGCCTCCGACACCTCTGCCCCGCTGGCAGTACAGCCCACAAGATGCTCCAGGTGACAAAGAGTCACAGAGCACATGAATCAATCAACCGAAAAAACAAGAAAGAAGTCTGGATTTCTGTGACCTGCACATCTCTGCAGAGGTCTCTAAAACTAGGAGGTGACGGGAAAGGGCAGTTTCATTAGCATGTTTTCCAGAAGAGAATTTCAGCACCATGTTATCCAAATTATAAAGTCCAAGGCAAGTTCCTGGTTCCTGATGTACACAGTCACTTACCTTCCTGTTCCCTTTTTCTTTCACCTGGGAGTGATGATGCACCTGCTATGTCAGGCACTATGTATGGAAAGCTGAACAAGCCAGGGCAGCCCCTCTATTACGGAGGACTTAGCAAGGTCTATTTGGAGAATAGGACCTTCATGCTTAAGAAAGCCGAGCAATAGACTAGGAATATAGAGGAACTGAGATGTTGTAAGGACTGGCTGGAGTTTATGTGCCCCAGGAAGGAAAGAAATAAAGGTCTTCAAATAAACCTGACCAAGAGTCATTTATATCTGCTGGTGAGAAACTATTTTCCCTGAGAGGAAGTGCACTGGGGAAAGGAAGAAAAAGGAAGCAGGCCCAGGGATCTGGTAAGAGCTCAAGAAAGACTCTGAGACTGACATTAGCCAGAGCTGTGAGGTCTCAAGAACCAACGCTAAAGGAGGCCCTGGAGCTCCCCTCCACACCTTTAGGGAGGCTGAGCAGCTGCAAGATGTGAAGCTGAGGTCCAGGACACCTACCACCTCCTGAGCCCCCGGCAGATGCTGGTGATACAGACCTGGCCTCACAGTAAACCTGTGCAATGTCCTGATCCCACCACCTGTGAGCTCTATTACTGTGAGACTGCCGTGATGGAGAGAAGGGGGTGATTACTACCGGCAGATTAAATGGTATGTTAAACAGCAGCCCCTCTTACCTCAGCATACATGTTCCAAGAGGCCCACTGGACCCCTATATCCATGGTCGGCACTGAACCTTATACATACTATGTTTTTTCCCATGCATACTTATGATAAAGTTTAATTTAAAAATTAGACACAGCAAGAAATTAACAATAACTGAAGTAAGAACAATTATGGTATAATAATAGTTACATAAATATGATTTTTTTCTCTCAAAATTTCTTATTGTACCATATTGGTATTTCCCAGCTAGTAACTTTGGATCATGGTCAACCCTAAGTAACAAAAACCTCAGAAAGTGAAACCACAGATAAGGGAGCGCCAGTGTGCTCTGATGTGTTTGGCACATGCTGGCTGAACCTGTATGTATGTGCTTGCTGGAGTTATAATATCGCCACTCTGCAGTCCTACAAGACTGACTGAGCTAATGGTTCAAATGCTCAGCTCTCACGGTAAAGTCTGCTGAGTTATAATTACATGAGTATAATAAGCACATAAAATGCTATAATACAGCATAATGTATTAAGTAATCAATAGTACTAGATTGCATTTATTGAGCACTATGTACCAGGCCCTGTTTTAAGCCCTTCCTGTGTATTAGCTCTTATAACTTAGCCATTAGAGGAAACGAAGGCAAGAGAGGCCGACTATGCCCAACTCATAAAACCACACACATGCAGTGCTGGGAGTGGAGCCTAGCTGTCTGGGTTGCAGAGCCGCCCTCTTGCCACTACTGAAAGCCCAAACAATCAGGCAGGCCACCCCGAGGCTCACACCCCTCACCCTCTCCTCAGCTTCAGTCTCAAACCACCTGCTCTGCCTTTGAAGCTTCCACCAGGCCTTCAATCTCTCTCTACTTGAATTTCTATTTTCAGCGGTCCTCGTCCCTCATTGTGTAAAGATCTCTTGGTTGACTCACCCTTTAAGGGGAGCCCCTTATTTCTGCAAACTGGTCAAGGAGTTCAGATTCCCCCACCCATGGAGGTTTGGAATTAGTCTATTTCTAGCTCTGTTTTGCTTCTGAAGTTCAAGGAAATAAAATGTTATACAAGGAAGGTAACAGTGCTCATGGCCTTTACCTCCAGGAGCACAAGCCATAGTTTCCAAATGCTATTGAGGGTGGCGGGACCATGCGTGCCCTCTTCTGCAATGGAACTGAAGTTCTGCTTTGATCTGTTTTATGAATCTAGGTTTCATTTGAAAATGGGTCCTATTTGAAAAGATGTTAGAAACCACTAAAAAGTCCTAAAATATATCCTATTGAAGGAATGCTTACAAATTGCGGTTTCTGTCCTTGCCTTTCTTAGGGTGAGAAATGAGGCCAGGAGAGAGCTATCGTCTGCCCCCTCTCCCGAGTCCCCATGATGTTCCTAGAACCTCAGGGGACACAGGCTCTGATGGCCAGGAAGACTCCATCTTGACTACCTGGCCTCTCCTACTGTACATATCCATGTGACCTTCCACAGTCACTAAGAACACACTGCAAGGAAAGACTGGCTTTCAGGGTGGCCAGGACAATGCTGCGCTTACAATTCCCACCAGTCATTACCCAACTTCTGGAGTCTTCTAAAGCAGGCAAATGACTACAGCAACATGGTGAACTCTGAACTGATCATGGGAGCCCTCTGGGTAATGGGAAGGAGAGGACAGCAAAGACAGACGGACAGACTTCTGATGAGCCTCACCTGCTTCTCGATGAATGCGTTGATCCTCTGTAGCATCCCCTCACAGGTGAATTCATATGGCATGTACGGCTCAATCTGTAGATACAGATCATGGAATCATGAAAAAGGAGGACACAGGACACCTGAGCCTTTCCAGATCTCCACTGACTTCCTTGACACACAGGTGCTGACATCTGCCTGAAGGCAGCATGGGAGGGGTTAAGACTACAGTCTTGGAAGTCACCAGACAGGGCATACCACCTCACTGCTCTTCTCTAGGTGAAGACTCCAGAAAACCATGTGTCACACACCTTATGTGCAAGAGGGTTATAAGAAAATCCCACCTCTTTTACATTATAGTGCAGATTATATGAGGGAAAAAGTGCTTAGTAGGCATACAACAAAAAGAGAAGATGATCACTTAGTAGCAGGTAAGCTCCACAGGGTGAAGTCTACAGCTGTGAACCCTCGACAATGCCATGCTAAACACATATGTGGCACATACAGGAACTTAATAAATCTCTGTTCAACAAATGCATGACCACTCTGAGAGATGCACACAACAAGCTGTTTAAGGACTCATGGTGGTGGCAGAAGCACTGGTCTGAGTTAGTAGTGAGATTAGCAGGTGCTCAGAGCACTTGTACTACAAAAGGAAAGTCAAAGTGCCATGAGGAGCTCAGCTAGATGGCCCTTGGAGGCCAGATGGTCAAAGCTGACTTCTGCTCATGCTGGGCTTTTAAGGTCAGAGATGAGTCTAGAAAGCCGAGACCTGGGAGGGTCAAGGCATGGAACACATTCTAGGTGGAGTGAGTACTAAGAGATTTGACAAGAAAAGATGGAGGAAGCATGAGCATAGGATTTCAAAGACTTGTGAGAAAAGGGAGACAAAGAGAGTTGCTGGATTTACACAAAAGCCTTGAGATTTCTATAGCGAGCTGCCTAGATTTCCAGGGCAGCAGGAAAGTGCTTCACTGGGGTAGGTGAAATATTCTGATTGATACTGTGACACGGAAGAAAAAGGAAAGACACATGGACTGCACAGTATTTGTCAACACTCTGAGGCCTGTGTCTTCAGGGGTGTACCAGTGTAAAATAGGAATTTCATTTGGGAGAAAACCACCCACAATCCCATCTGTTACAGCTGCAGAAAACCCAACAGCATCTGCCAATGACAGGGAGATGGGCACCTTACCTTCACTAACTCCCTCTTAAACCTAGATTTCTCTGAATCTATAGGGTGGAAAGCTGGACACGGGCTTGCTGCAGAGAGGACATTCCCAGTAGGCAGCCAGCTACTCGGGCTTGGGGCATCCTCTCCCCTCTTCTGCTGAGTCACACATTATGTTTGAAAACTTAAGTCATGCTTTCAAAGAATTTGATAGCGTAACTTTAAATACACGACCAGACACAGGTTGCATCACAGAGGCTCGATCCTAGTCACATCTGTCCAGACAGAGATAGAAACTGAGCTGTCAGCACTGAAATACAGAGGCTATTCTAAAAGAAGAGAGGGGTCAGTGCTCATCTCCAAAGAGCTCCATATCCTTTGAAGAACTGCCTTTCATGGTTCCAGCTTGCTCCTTCCCAACTCAGCCTTTTGCACTTGCAGGCCCTCTCTGACCTAGACATAGCTCTTCATAAGAAATGCAAACTTTTTATTTTAAAGGATATTTACTTACTCAAGCCATGACTGACTCTAGAAGCTTTCTATAAATAGCCTAGAGATACCTCCTCTCAAAGGTTTTTAGAAGACACTAAAGGAAACCATCTAAAACAGAAGACATGGCCTATCTGGGTTTTCTTTTAAGTTGAGTAGAATTTCCAGAATGGAATAAACACGCATTGGTGGGGAGCTATAATGAGACCAGCAGATTCAGTCCCTTGAGAGGAAGCAGGATAAATTCCCAGGGTCATTCTGACAACATATTCCAAAGGGCAAAAACAAATGACAGGTAATTCAAAGGGCTCAGTGTAGCAAATGGCTCTACCTCTGTTCTATTAACCACACCCAATTTAACCAAAGGGATGCAGATTCAGTCATTGCTTTGGGGCCAATTCATTCTTTTGAAGGAAAGGAAGCCAGACAATCTTCCCAAAAAGAAAACGCAAAAAAAAAAAAAAAAAAAATTAAAGGCAACCCTAGGCTACTGTGCTTCCAGTGAGATCAACTAGCCATTCTGCCATGGAAAGGAGCAGGGCCCTCAGCTTGGGAAGACTCTCTCAGGGCATTTCCCTGAAGTCAGAGATGCTGAGGGGGCTGGGGGTGGGTGGGTAAAAGGAAGCAGGTTTCTGTTTAATAGACCTTCAGGAACAAGCCAAGGCCTCTTTGGGATACAGAATGAAAGAGAAGGCTGAAATCGTATCCATTTCCTGAAAAACCCAAGTAGAGAAGCAAGGATGCATTGCTTATCATCAGGCTTTGAGGAAAAAGGGCTGTTATTCATCTGGTTAGGCCCACAGGAAGGATGCCTGCAGGCTGCACTGTGGAGTTTCTGCTGGCCCTGGAACCTTTTCAGGAACTTCTCATATTCTCTAACATTTTCTCTTCTTCACTTCTCGGCTTGTGAGATTTCTTATATCCACTGGTACCCACTCCTCTCCCAGTTGGGAGAAGATTTCTAGAGGGAACTGCTCTCAAAGATCAGCTAAGCCCTGAATGGTTCAGCAGCTAAGCCCTGAATGGTTCCACGACAGGTGTGGCTTGACCTCATTCAATGAGAGACGGTCTTAGAAGGTCTCAGAAGACCTCTATTTGAGTCTAGGCTTCTCTATTTACTAACCATAGGATTTTGGGGTTAGGAAGATCTTATAATTTCTCTTGATGATTCTAATGTAAACTTGGTCATGTCTTCCTCCTGTTCAAAACTTTCGGCCAAGGCCGGGGATTTAGCTCAGTGGTTTCGCTGCCGGCTGCTCAAGCACAAGGACCTGAGTTCAATCCCCCATACCAAAAAAAAAAAAAAAACCCTTTCGGCCACACTTAAAAAATTCAGAATCCCTAAGGCTGCCTATTCAAAGGCCTTACACATTCCAGCTCCTGGGGACCCTTTTATTGTCTCCTTTATTTTACATAAGAAGTCGGCTGTGTTCAATATCGTTTTTACCCTGAATGTAAGAAATTTTTCTCTGGCTGCTTTCAATTCGTTTCCCCTATTTTTGCTTTCAGCATTTGATTACGATGAACCTGAATATGCTTTCCTTTGTATTTATCTTGGTTGCGGTTCACCATGCACCTAGAATCTGTAATGGCATTCAGTATGTGAACATTCTTAGCTGTTATTTTAATTATCTCTTCTATGCCATTCTCTTTCCCTTCTGAGATTCCAGCTATACCTAAGTGAGGGAAGGTAATATTGTCCCATGGACCTCATAGGCTCTTTTGTTTCATTTTCTTTTTTCTTTGCATTTCAATTGGGATAATTTCTATTGAAAAGCCTTCAAGTTCACTGATTTTTTTTTTTCCTTTGCTGCAAACAGTCTGCTGAGAAGTCCACGGAATGAATTCATTTTTGGTATTGTAGTATTTCTAGCACTTACCATCTCGCTTTAAAAAAAAGCTTCCATCTCTCTGATGAAATTTCCCATCTGTTCACATATGTTGTCTATCTTTTTCACTGAGTTGCTATCAGATCATTCTGGCATCTGAGCTATCTTCTAGGTCTGATTTTATTGACTTTCGTCTCTTCGTCATTGATGTTTGAACCCAGAGCCTTTGCACTGAGCTACATTGCAGCTTTTTTTTTTTTTTTAATTTTAGGACAAGATCTCACCAAGTTGCCCAGTTTATACTTGAACTTGGGATCCTCTCCTACTTTAGCCTTCCAGTGTGCTGGGATTACAGGCATTAACCAGCACAACTTTAAGTCATGTTTCCTTTTTTTTTCTCCTTTTTTGAGTATCACATTATATACAATCTTGGAATTACATGTGGGAAAGGTCAGCCCCAAACTCGATCCATTTCTAACAAGTATAAAGATTTTTATGACAAGTTTTTATATTAATCTCATTGCTTACTCTATTTCTCTTCCCCATTTTTTCCCTTTACTCCATTTCATGTTTTTTTTTTCCTTTTTAAATTTTATATTATCTTAACAACTAAATCCCTGAATTTAAATCCAGGTTTTGCTTCTTACTTGTGGCCTTGGGTAAATCACTTACCTTCTATAAGCCTTAATTTTCTCATCTATTAAGATGAGAATAATACAGAATTGTGGAATAATTAAATGAGATAAAGCTTACAATGTAACATAAGTAACATCCACTACTGTTAACAATTTTTTAACTGGCCTTAAATAGTTTTTGAAATAATGTGGAGTAAGGGGGATGAGGGTTTTAATTAAACTGTGGAGCATTAAAGGTTCCATGGAGTGAACAGAACAAATCCATGTGGAAATGACTATATAGAAGTCAGTGCTCATGCTCAGGGTTTATGCACGTGGGATTTACATTAAATTATGGCTTGGCAAAAGTGATCTATTACATATAAAGTTTTGCACTCCATGATCTCGAGCTTGGTACTTCTACTCAGGTTTCAAATTAGTCTTCCTCATTTGTACTTAACTAAGTGTCTTGGGTGGGTTGAACTGCATTTCCTCAAAATACATGCTGAAGTCTTAACCTCCAGTATCTTGAATGTGCATTATTTGGAAATAGGATCTTTGCAGATGTACTTAAGATGATGTCATGCTGAATTCAGGTGGGTCCTAATCCAATATAAGAAGAGGAATAGCAGAGACAGGGAGAAGGCACTTGATGATGGAGGCAGAGATTAAAGCTCTGAGGTGGCAAGCCATGGTATGCCTGCAGCCTGCAGGTGCCAGATGCTAGGAGAACACAGTACCCCCTCCCCCTTGTCTGTAGGGGATACATTCTAAGACCCCTAGTAGAGGCCCGAAACCAAGGAATGGTACTCAGTCATTGTACAAGTACCATGATAACACAACAGTTGATCTGATAACTGAGACTATGACCAAGTAAGTAAACCAGGGAAGGTAGCATATATGGCACGGATACATTGCACAGAAGGCTGATTCAAGTCCTGGATGGGACAGAGCAGGACCGCCGGAGCTTTCATCATGTTACTCAGATTAAGTGTGCAATTTAAAATATGTGACTGTATTTCTTGAGTTCTTCCCCTCAATATTTTTGGACCATGACTGACTACAGAAAATGAAACTTCAGATACAAGGAGATTATTTTCTTCCATTATAGCTTTCTAAGGGAGCGTGATCCTGCTGATGTCTTGATTTCAGCCATCTATCCTCCCAAAATGAAAGGTAATATTTCTGGTGTTTAAGCCATCCAGTTGTTGTACTGTGTTATAGCAGCCCAAGTAACTAATGAATACACCAAGGGATTTGGAAACTCAAGAAAGAAGAGCCAGACTTAGTGGTGAATGCCTGTAGTCCCAGGATTCTGGGTGAGTGCAGCAGAAGGATGGGACATTTGAGCCTGAGCCTGGGCAATTTAGACTTAGTGGGACCTTGTCTTTAAAGGGCTGGCAGCATAGCTCAGTGAAGCCCATGGGTTCAATCTCCACTATGGAAAAACAACAACAAACAAACAAAACAAGAGATCATTCCATCTCAGGAATGCCTCCACGATGGTGAAGCTTTTGGAGGCAGTCCAGTGCCACACTACACTAGACACTTCTATGAGCAGTCCCCTTGGGTCGGGCACTTCTGCCTGAAACTATTGAAAATGGCATAGGGACTGTGCATGTCCTTGATGGAAAGCTGACAGCCATACCACTAACCAATGCCAGACCATCTTTAAGGGGGCAGGGCATGAATAGTACACTAGAGTATGCTTGTTGCCCTGGAGATACTCAGAATTAATTGAAATTGATAGTTAGGCAGTAGACTACAAATTGGTCATTCCATTTTATTTCCCAGAGGGGAAACACGGCCCTTTCCAGGTGTAACCTGGACATTCTTCCTAAGATGGATTTCTAGCCTCTTCCTCTTTACACTATGCCCTGAATCCACGCCCTTCACAATTTTGGTTTGCAAATTCTTACCCATCCTAGAAGACTTAGCTCAAAGTACAGTGTTCTCCAGAAAGCCTCCTTCTACTTTTACTCCTATATCGTCTGCATGGTGCTTATGGAACAGACATCCTGTGGTGTGTGTTATGTCTATGTTTGTTTGGAAACCTCAATTCCTCTCTTCCTCCTTCCCATCCATCGATCCACCTACCTACCCATCCATGCAGTAGTTCACAATGGCAAGTACTGGGAATACAATAGGCAGATATACTTGCTGCCCTCATGTTCCTTAGGGTCTAGTGGAAATTCAGACTACCAATTAAGAAAGTAGGAACAAATACTTAAATGTTAACTGAACACTATGTGGTAGGCATTGTACTTAAACATTTTGTTTAGACATGATCTCATTTAGCCTGTATAAGTGACCAATATGATAGGTAATATTAGCTCTACATGACAGTTTAGGGAATGATGCTAGAAACTAGAACCCAAATCCGAAGTGTTTGAGTCCTGCCCACCTTCACACCCGTGTATATGCTTCTCTTAAAATATTATAACCAAGTATGAAAAGTGTTCTAATAAAAGAAACACAGGAGCAGATTCCCCTGAAAGAGTTCATGGAAGTCTTGGGGTAATAGAACCCATCCCTAGAGGACAGTAAACTTCCCACAGAGGGACCCAAATTGATCTACGTCTGTGGAAGTAAACAACCCTCCTCCCAGGATGGCTCAAAGAGTGTTCTGTGTACTGCAGGGGCTTAATAAAGTCTGCTAAATTCATCAGGAAAGGCCTGAAAAGTTAGTTATCCTTACAAGTTTTTACCAAATATTCAGATATAAAAACCAAATAAACAGATGTTCTACAAAAACCCTTCCCAGTACAGTGGACCCTCAAGTTATGACCAGCCTAACATGCAAACAACTGGAGTTATGACTGGAATTTTAGTTTTAACTTACAAACAAAATCTTGAGTTATGGCCCAAATGTCGGCCACTTGTGCTTCCAGATGGTCTCAGATACAGATTTAACATTACACATCACTTCCTGTGTGGGGCTGAGAAATTCTAGGCCAATGTCTCTCGATGGACACTGCGATCCGCCTATATATTAGAGACACTTTGAAGGCTATATAGAGCCTTCAACTGACCAACCTGAGTTACAACCAGCCCTTGGGAATGAATTGAGTTTGTAAGTCAAAGGTCCTCCTCTGTGTTTCTTTCCGCATCACCCCTATAACTATTTCTACCTGTCCAGCTCTTTGTGGGTAAGAAAAGAAGCACAGCTATCTTTTCAGATTTCGTTAGTGTCACAATTACATCATGGAACCAAGTAAAATTCAAACCACTCTTTCCAGCCCCACAAACCAGGAATCCTATCAAGAGGATCTGTAGAATCCATGCTCACATCTGGACACCAGTTCCATTTTCTTTTCTTTTTTCGCAGTACTGGGGATCGAACTCAGGACCTTGCACTTGCAAGGCAAGCAACAGCGCCACTGAGCTAAATCCCAGGCCCCAGCCAGTTCCATTTTCCATTTCATGAAACTTCCATGAAATTCCAAGAACAAATCCTACAGCTTGTCTGTTTTCTAGCTTCAGCTAATGTGGGAAAGCACCATTTACTGAAACAAATGGCCTATGATGCTTTCCATTTTTCCAGGTCACTTTACAAATGGGGTGGGGGGAAGTGAAATAAAAGATAAGGGGAAAGGAAAGAAGAGAAAGGAAAAATTATGAGAAAAGAAAAAAAATGGAAATGAAATCTATGTAAATAGGGAACGGTGGAGGGGGTGAAGGGTGCACAGGTAATGGGGAAAAAAGTAAGAACCAAGATGCATCATGTACAGGTACAAGCACCCAATGATAAATGTAAATATATTATATACCTAATATGTACCAATAAAAGAATTTTAAAAAAAGATAGAACCTTCTGATTTAAAATTGCTTTCACTGCATCCTCTACTTCCTCTTGACTGTTGAGATCAACAGTCCAGACATGTGGCCGGCCGATGAAAACTTCAGCGTAAGGATGCTGGGACGTCAGCTGGAAAAGAGAACACAGCTCCTCAGTTTCACAGACAATGAATTTATTTGAAAAACCTTCAGTGTTAGATGAAGCATTATACCTTTTAATGGTACTGAACTGTACCTGTGTATTTTACAAGTCCTTCCTCTTGACAATCAAAAACCTCTTAAGTAAATAGCAGATAGCAACAACAAAAGTGATGGCTCCATACCTGGAATCCCACTTGGAAATAAGAAAATGTCACAACTTCAGGACTGGTGGGTTTCTTTCTGTGTGTGTTGCTGGAGATGGAGCCCAGGGCCTGTGCATACTAAGCAGCTGCTCTACCACTGAGCTACAACCCCAACCTGTATAGGTGACTTTAATTTCTGATGAACATTTACTCTCAGCCATAGCCAGTGGTGTGGTCCTCAGCTTCTTCCTCTCAGGTTCTTCCCCTGTTTCCTGCTTCTCAGATGGCATGAGTTGAGCACCTTTCTTCTGCCATGCCTTTCCACCATATGCTTCTACCTTGGAGCCAGCTAGCGATGGACTGAAATCTGGAACCTGAGCCAAATAACCTTTCTTCCTCTAAGTTGTGTTTGTCAGGTATAGTATTTTGTCCCAGCAATGGAAAGCAAACTAGTATACCAGCCCCAATAACCACCTAGATCGAACCAGTATCTATTATCCCAGCCACAATAGACAGGTAAGCATAGAAAATTGGAATAAACATCAAGACTGTAAAAGTTGTAAGAGGATAAGTAATGGTGCACGCAAAAGGTGACAGAAAGAAAAATGGTAACATCAGAAAAACATAATTTTTTGAATGGTTTCAGGAATAATCATTAGCATAACACTGGAGCCTGAAATTTATAAAGACAGCTTGTCAGCAGAATAGCACAGATCAGCAGTTTTTAATCCTAAAAGAGGTTGTGCTTTAAGAACAAAGCATGGGCAAAGATACCAAGCATGCATACTGGCTATTCTGAGTTTTTCAAGAGGCTGTTCTTTGACACAGCTGAATCGATCCCTCAGTCATGTCTCCACTTTTGTTCTTGTATCCCCTTTAAGGCAGTGGTGAGAATATTTTCAGTTACAATGGCTGAGGTGCCTTAGTCTGTGGGTAGGGACCAGGGACACATGACATCCAAGGATGTCCAAGAGAGTTGTACACAAAGAACTGTCAATTTCCCAAACTTGTGTTTTTTCAATGGTGCGGACTGAACTCAGGCCTCTGCTCATGATAAGCATGTTCTCTACCACCAAGCTATCCTAGTCCAAACAACTTTCCAATGCCTGCAGGGCTTTCATGTGGATTTACAGAATTTAACTCTTTGATACAGTTTTAATATACACTGAATTTTCTAGGGGAAAATTATCATATAAATCAAGAAATATGTTTTACTTGGAACTTCACCCATGTGCTGTCACCATTTTGGAAAAATCAAGGCAACAAAATCAAAGCCACTTAACACATCGGTCTTCAGTAAAATACCCCATTGGCCTACATTTGCAGCAATCAGGTTTGTGGCAATTTTGTATGTATGTGTGCTATGTACACATACTCTTATATTTAGCAGATTCATAATGTCATTTACAAGCCAAAAAGGCTGACAACACTCACTCACATGCATTACTTCTGTTAAACACAAATGTTCATTGTAAGGAGGAGTTCTTAGCTACACAATACTGAAATACTCGTTACTTAATTAGAAATTATTTTCCTTTTATTTCTCCTTTATATCAGACTCAGGGAACAATCCTTTTGAAATTAGCCATGTAGGTAGTTTATATTCACAAATTTCATTTCAGGAGAGAAAACTCGATGGCTCATGTTACATCATATTTTATAAAAGGAGCTGCTGGTTCCAGTACTGTTAAGACCTTTGCTCCTGAGGCCCAGCTGGATCTCTTTTTGCCCTTGTTCCTACTGATACAGATGTACACCCAGAGGACTGGATGATTGGATCACTACTTCTCTATCTTGCTCTTATTCTTCATTCTTGGTATTCCACTGTACCAGTGGCTGCATGTACTATACAGGGCAGAAAAAGTAAAGCACAGGGCATTGTGCTGCCAACCATGCAGGCTCACACAAGAACATGTGCAATCCAAGACAGCAGATGACTGTAGTGTCTGCTCCTGCTTCCCCTGCCCCGTCATGGCCCTCCCTAACCTCTGCAGCTCATCCTGACACATGCCCTCTTCTTATGCTTGGCTCTGTCAGTGAAAGAGGCCACAGACAATCTGCAGGCCCATGGAGCTGCAGAAAGGTGTCCTTTATTTAAACACTCTGTGTATATTTTAACTCAATACATGTTAATGAAGTCCCCGGCTGGGCCAAGCATTGTGCTAATCACCTGAACATACATTAGTCATCCGCTTCTCTATATCCACAAAGATACTCAGCGGTTCAGAAGTGTTTATGCTTCTCCAAGGCCACATAGCCAGAAAGTAGTTGAGTCAAGTGCAAATCGAGATCATTCAATAAGGTTAGTTTTGGACAAAACAGGAAGATGACAATTTAGAGAATGCCACTGAGTTCTTACGAAAAAGATAAACAAAAGTTTTTAAATCACTTTCTTAAAGCTGGCCAACATAAAAAAATTCCAGGATGGAATCTGTGCCTGTGTTAGCCCTTTTCTGAAGATGAGCAAAATGTCACATCATTTTCATTTTATAGCCTGGAGAACAAACTAATTAGTCCTTCCACTGGAATCAGGGTAAATTAAAGTTGCCATCAATGTCACTACTTAGCAATTTATATATTAGCAACAGTCTTTCTCTCCTCTTTCCTTTTAAGGTTCCTGCTTATTTACAGGGTTGCTCTAAGCACTGAGAAAATACAAAATGTGGAACAATTATCATTTATTCATTTACATTTATTGAGGGTTGCTTAATTTTATGAGTAAGGCATTTTGTGATTCATTAGCCCCCTATGAATATTATGTTCCTCCTTATTAATTTATTGAGGACTGTCTGGTCTCTACTACTTTATTGTATATCAATCAGGAAATGTGGTGGACTATAGTTCGTAAAAGTAATGAAAACCTTATTAAATATGAGACATTATTTCAGAGTGGGTATTAAATCTCCAAGGGGAACATTAGTTCTCTTTATGGACAAAAACCCCTGAAGCCAGAGAATTCTTAATGGTTTACAAAATGTCAGAAGAATGATCAGGAATTTATTAATATGTTTCCCAATATCAAGATAAAAATCCAATTTATATTACAGTATATATCTAACCACTCATATTACTTAAGGCATCATGGAACTTTCTGAGTAGACATTGCAGTTTTAAAAATTGGCTCAATGCAAAAATAAAGAGAAAACTAAACTCTTATTTAGAAATCTCTCTAAGTGAAGGCAAAAAGAGACATACAGGCAATTAACATGACTCAATTTATGGACATGAGCTGTTGCTTCACCCCAAAGATTTGTGTGGGCATAAAGAGACAACTTTGTACTTGCGTGTACTTTTGTTAACTTTTTTCTGTTTGCTGAGGAAAAACAGGCAATTTCTAAGGCTTGTTGACCCTCAGAAATCTGTACACCTATTTACAGCTTTTTCCCAGTTAAAAGAATCTTTGGTTAAGGAATTTGGAGGGTTTAGTAAAGTAGCAAGACAGAGTATGTGGCCCACTTGGCCATGAGATCAAGGTCACTGGTCCTTCCCAGAGCTGCCTGATGTTGATGGAGGGAGCTGGACATAGATGAACCCGCCTTCCTGCATGAGTCAAAATGACCTTGGGGTCTCCCCAATTCACAACATTCATGTATTCCAAAAGAGGCTTGAAATCCCCTCTTCTTTTCAGTTAATTCTGCACATTCCCCCTCCACCTGGCACAACTCCAAGTTAACTCCCTTCCTTCATTCACTTAGCTACTTCTTTATGCCCTTCCACTGATATGCATCTTTCTTATCATCCTTCATATCAGATTTGGAGCTCCTGGAAAACAAGAAATGTGCTCTGCTAAATTCACCCAATGTAACAACTAATGCCATGGGCCCTGTGGGGATACATTAAACACCTGTCAATTGTCCTTCTGCTTCTCAGCTCTCCTGTGGGAGCCCAGGACTGATGGAGTTACCTGCGTGAGGTCACTCGCTGAGCAACTGTTGAAAGGATTCCACACTGTCTTTCTACTAGAGTCTCATTTAAGCACTGGTGGAATTATCCTGCTCAGCAGCTCCAATGTCTCCTCTCTCTTTATGCCATGAAGAATGAAAACCCTCCATGACCTCAGCAAAAAGCAAATTACTAACTGACAGAAAATGATGAACATACATACTTTCCTGATCTGAGCTCTGTAACGTTACATCATTCACAGGACAAGGGCTAGATGGTGTTTAAGAAGATCATCGATGTTTTCCAGGAAATGTTCAGTGTACAGAAAAACTGACCTGTATTCTTTAAAAGCATTATAGTTCATGAGTGGTAATGAAAGACTAATTTTTTCTAATTAAGGATTGGAAAAGACCAAAAGAGACATGACAATTAAGTGCAATGTGGGATTCTGAATTGGTTCTGGGAACAGAAAAAGAATCTTGTTGGAAAAACTGGTGAAGTGCAAATAAAGTCTGTAGTTCAGAGAATACAAGGGTGCCAATGTGAATTTCTTGGTTTTGATAACTGTATCGGGGTTCTGTAAAATGTTACCACTGGGGTAAGCTAGATAAAACTATTATTTTTTGCAACTTTTCTGTATGACTAAGAGTATTTTAAAATAAACCAAAAGTAAAATATAACAATTGCAGTTGTAGGTATATACCCCAAAGAACTGGAAGCAGATACTCATAGCAGCATTATTCACAATAGGCAAAAGGTATTTACAACTGCCCAAAAGTCCATCAAGTGATGAATGGAAAGCCCAAATATGACATAGTCATATAACAGAATATTTAGCTTTAAAAACAGAAAGATTCTGAGGTTGCATGCTGCCTCAGGGACCAACCTTAAAAACACCATGCTAAGTGAATAAGCCAAACACAAAAGAACAATTACTATACCATTTCACTTAGATGAAGCACCTAAAATGAGCAATTCATACAGATGGAGAGCTGAATAGAAGTTACCAGGGGCTGATGGGAGAATGGGGAGTTATTATTTAATGGGTTCAGAGTTTTTGATTAAGCTGATGAGTAAGTTCTGGAGAAGGATAACAGTGGTGCTTGTACAGCACTGTGAATTTACTTAATGCCAATGAAGTGTACATTTAAGAAGGGTTAAAATGATAAGTTTTGTGTTACATGTGTATCTTACCACAAAAAAGTTTTATCGATCCCCAGTACCAAAAAAACCCCCCCAAAAACAAATAAAAAGTGGACAATTACAAATATACACAATTTGGGCAGAAGTAGAACTTCAGAGATTTCTTATGCTCAAAATTAAAACCTATGGATAATGGTGAAATATAAACCAACATATTGGACAAATGAAATAGAAGAGAAAGTCCAGAAATAAATCTATGTATTTATGATTGTCTGATCTTCAAAAGGGTGCCAAGAACACACAATGGTGAGGGATAGTCTCATCAATAGAGTGCTAGGAAAACTGGCTATCTGCATGCAGAAGAATGAAATTAGATCTGTATCTCACACCACATACAAATAAAACCAACTCAAAATGTATTAGATTTAAATCTAACACCCCAAACAGTACAACTATGAGAGAAAAACTAAAAAAACCTTCTTGACATTGGTTTGGGCAATGGCGTTTTGGACATGATTCTAAAAGTATAGGCAAAAAGATGCAAAAAACAGGCAAATGGGATTGTATCAAACTATATTGGAAAGGCATGGAATCAGTTTATTGAAAAGGTATCTGCACTCCCGTGTTCACTGCAGCACCATTCACAATAGGCAAGGTGGTGGAATCAACCCAAGAGTCTTGCAACAGATGAATGAAAAAACTGTGTGTTTATATATGCCAAATGGAGTGTAGTTTAGCCTGAAAAAAGTGAAATTCTGCCATGTTCAACAACGTGGATGAACCTGGAGAATGCCCTGTTGAATGCAAAAAAAGGCAGACACAGAAAGATGATACTGCATGATCTCACTTATATATGGAATCTAAAATAGCTGAACTTATCTAAAGTAGAGTACAATGGTGATTGCCAGGGGTTGGGGCATGTGGAGAATGAGGATATGTTGATCAAAAAGCACAAAGTTTCAGTTATACAAGATGAATAAGTTCTAGAAATCTATTGTTTAAGATGGTGACTATAGTTAACAATGCTGTATTGTACATTTGTAATTTGCCAAGAGGGTAGATCTTTTGCTTTTACCACACACTCTACAATGCGGACACAGGACCTATGTAAAGTGACAGATCTGTTAATAATGTTGATTGGGCTGATTTCATAATGTATATTAAACATCACGCTGTGCACCTTAAATATACTGTTTTTATTGTGTGAAATAAAGACACAACAACAACAGAAAAAATCTAGTGATGACTGAAGTCTACTTTTTACCCAAAACTCCTAAGTTTCAAAGAAGCCAGTCATATACTAAAGCAAAGATTCCTAAGTTGAGACATTTTCACTGCTAGGAAGCATCTTTTAAATCTTTCCAAAGAACAAGCTCGTCAATGTCAGGCTGTGCTCCTGATCTCTGTGCCTTTGCACACCCACAGCACCTGCTACACAGGTGTGTATTAAGTACTGTTCAATAATTAATGAATGAACTGACCTATCAAAAAGAAACCATTTCCTAGAAGGAACAGTTTAGGTCATTACACAAGCAGAAAGGAAAAGCAAGCAAGCAAACACACAACTCCTTTTAGCGGGTATATGAGCCACAGTTAATCTTTCTGAGATAAATGGTGGATCTCGTGGATCTTCCTCCATTTTCTTTGGCCACTTCACCAATGATAGCAGGGTTTAGAGAAAAGAACTCTCAAAATCATCAACTCTATGGACTGGCCAAGATTTCTGATTCATCAATAAAGAATAATCATTAAAAATACATTTTATGCATTACTTGGAGGGCCAATTCAGGCAAATAGTAAAATCCAGTAAAAGCAGCAGAACTGAATTCTTTAAAATACGTGCTCTTATGTTATAGGATGATTGGCCATCAGTGTAATTGCTAGCAGAAGGCCCTGGATGACCAGGATGGTGCTTTGACATCCCTGTTTGTGAGCAACCCGCTGAGCCACTTACTAGTACACAGAAATAATAAGAAAATCAATCTTATGGTTTCTTGCACATACTTGTTTCTGACCCGATAGAGAAGCATCCAGCTTGATCACTCATACTTAGCTGTGAATGACTTTGGTTTATTGCTCCAAATAAAATCCGATTATCCTGGATGATGATTCATCACCCACTGTGGATTTTCAAGAGGATCTTGGAAGGCAATTCAAACAAGTCAAATGGTTTTAGCAGTGGCAGGAGTAGTTCACAGGATGGTGCCTGCTGATGGTGGGCTAAAACATCAGGCACAATACTTTAGTCACCCATGATATGTCTTGTCTCCTGAGGCTCATGTTCTCTGAGAACAACCACGGCCTACTTTTTATTCTCCAGAACCCAAGATGGAGAGTCCCCCACCTGATTTTCTCATTCTCTCAACTCAGACTATGGCTGTAATCAGAAAGCTAGAATGTCTGTGTTCACATTAAAATAGAGTGGGGGACAGAGTGAAAAGATCTTTACTTTGTAGATGGAGATTCAAATGCCAGCCCTGCCTCTAATGATCTGAGGTACCCAAGTCATTTCTCTCTCTTCCAAAGCCTCCTTTCCTACCCAACCATGTTAAATGAAGTTAATACAGCTGGCTTTCTGTACCCCCAGGTTCCCCATCCACCCACTTGGAAATATTAAGACAATATTTGGAGAAATGCATTTATCTCAAACAGGTATAGGCCTTCCCCCCCTTGTCACTGTCCTTTAAACAATACAACTGCTATTTATATAGCATTTACAATGTATTAGGTATAAGAAATCCAGGATGATTTAAAGTATTTGGGAAACTGTTGCATGCAAATACTATGCCGTATTATATAAGGAGCTTGAGCATCCACAGATTGTGGGATCTGTGGGGATCCTGGAACCAATCCCTGATGGATACTGACAGATGACTTTACCTACCAGTCCCTGATGGATAGATGAGCTGACTTAATCTACATTAAGACTCCATAAATTGTTATTATTCTTTTTGCGCTATGTGTGGGGGTGGGAGGGCTGGGGATGGAACCTATCCTGGTCTTGTGCATGCTAGGTAGGCACACTACCACGGATTTAACCCCCAGGCCCTATATTCTTCTTATTGAAAGCAGAGTGATTTTGATATATACTTACCTCTCTTAAGGTTGGCTTGCCAATGAAAAAGTCTGTGTTTTTGCTGCTTTTTGGTGGGTTGAACTTGGGATTCAGAAAAGCACATCCATTTGCAATAGCCTCCAGGGGAGCTGGGCCCTCATAAGGAAACCCAAGTCCAACAAACAACTGTTAAGACAGAAAAACATACACCATATCAACACATCTGTCAGGACTGGCTCTCCCAGCTCACAAGGATGTTCTGTGGTCCATTCCTGTGGATACCTCAGACATTCTGGAAAGGTCCCAGGCTCTGGGGATAGGGTAGGGCAAAGAGAAGGCGCTTATACCAAGATGGGACACATCACTGGGAACTGTTACAGCCCGTATAAAGCAGCTTGGCTCACTGAAGTGGTAAATACTGGGGGGCGGTGAGGAAGGTAGAGAGGTTGGGTATTAAATGACAACAGAAACCAAGAGCCAACAATCATCTTTCTGTGACTCACCCAGGAGACAGGACCGGAAAAACACTTGCTAAACTAAACAGAAGGTTTCTGCATTGAAGTGGAGGAACAACAGGCCCCTTCAGGGACGCTGGGCAGAGGAGCAGAAAGGTCACTTGGTGGTTTGATTACAGTTCAAATGGAACTGCTTTAAAATATGGTTTTCCTAACAAGTTTTCACTGGGGGACACTAATGTCTCCGTTTTTATTTTCCCCTGGGATTGAGGGAGGGTGCTGAACTGCTCAATCTGTTAGGCCAAGCTTCCCTCTCCAGGAAGCAAACCATGCATTCCCCCAAGGTAGACAACAGATGGCAGCAAAAGCTTGCTGACTCAGCCCTAGGAGCAACCACACAGTAGGGAGCCACTGTGACAAAGGGGACATGGTTCTGCAGTTCAGCAGCACTGATTCCTGGGCTCCTAAGTGAAAATAATCCCCCAGAAGCTCCCAGTTGCCCACCCTCAGCGCAGGAGTGCAGTACTGCAAGGAGGCCTGGAGGTCACTCATGGGTAGGTCCAGGTGGGGGCTGGGGGAGCCTGTGTTCCCTCTGCCCACATCAAGGGGCCAGTTCTGCAACTGTGCCAGTGTGCAGAGGCACATCAAGTGACAAAGGTTAACTGGTCCCAGGACAGATTTCCTTCCGCCTTCCATGGAGCGAAGCAGGCTGTGGCCCGGATGTGGATGTGGATGTGGCCGTGCTGATTCCCTCTTCTCCAGCCCCTGCACAGCTTGTCTTTGCAGCTGCTCTAAGTTAATGATTATTGAGGAAGCTTCTGCTGGAGGGCACTGGGTTCCCTGGGCAACATGGGAGATGCAGATCGCACATGTTGAACTCTGAATACCAAGGCAGCACCACACAGCACACATTTAACACGCTCGAGGAGGACAGCCCTCCATGGGACTCTGGGGCAAAAAACCAAAATCTCAGGTGTTCTGGAGCACCTTTCTATTTCATTAACTCTTGCTTTGTACAGAGTAGGGTAGTATTCAACCTTTCTGGTTCTTTGGAGGAATAACCTTTCATTTCCTATAAACCTTGAGATCACCCAAGCAGATGTATCCATAGGAGAGGGAGCTGGAAAGAAGAAAGGCTTGGGGAGGCCTGCAGAGCTCCTGTGGCAATGAGCTGAGAGAGAACCTGGCAGTAGGAGCTGACAGGAGCAGCAGAAGGATAGAGGGAAATCTCTATGCCACTTGGAGGCTCCTGTGGATCTCATTCTTATTACACAGAGAAGTAAGATCATCAGAGGGAACTGATGAGTACTGGTGTGGCTCAGAGGTGGGCCAGGAGATGGCAGCTAAAAAAAAGGACAAGGAAAACGTGGGATATAGTTGGTGTGATCGAAAAATATGATGAATGCTTACGCCACTTTATTAGAGTAAAAATATATTGCCATTGCCATTAATCTTCCCCGAAATACTCCACCTTTCCCTGAACACACACCACTGTTCTTATCACTTTCTGAAGCAGTTCTGGATGTCTTTTATTGTCAGTGTCTTTTGCCTCAATGTCCTGAATTGATCTGAAGCATGTATCTTTCATGGTCATTTTGACCTCAGGGAAGACCCAGAGTTGCAGGGTGCCAGATCCGCTGTGGATGAGGATACCATAATGTTTCCATGAGCTTGCCTTTCCATTGCATGATGCTCAGCAACAGACACTTCATAAAGACACAGAAGAAATCTTCCAGAATTCCTTCAGAAAGCTGCAAGAATGACAGGCTAAGTATGTTGGAAGTGTGTGTGTGGGGTGTGGATTTTTGAGAGGAATTAATGGCAATGTGTCTTTTACTGTAACACATTTAAAAAATTTAAGTATTTACCATCTATTTCTATTATACTTTGGATAATTTCCTGAGACATTTCAGCTGTACTCAGAATGAAGAATCCAGCGTTACCATCATTATGGCTTCTGATTTCTATAATATACAGTCCCTGTCATGCTTTAAGGAAGACATGCCACCTTTCCAGGGGAAAAAAAATCACCCCTATCAGGCTGTGGTTAGGCACAGAATAGGAGTATCCAGATCTTTTTGACTCTGAGAAGGAAGGTATTAGAAGATGCAGACTGGGCTTCTGTGGATTTAGCCAGAGAGATATAGACCCTACAGAATTTCCTGACCGCTGGAAATCAAGGACCCACCATGAAGAGCCAATACCTTCATTAACTCTACAAATTGTCAGGTGAATTTTGGAGGAAACGGAAAAAGCACAATGCTTGTCTATTTCAATAGAAAGTCTTGGGGAAAAAATTTAATTGGTTCCTTCAAGTCCAACCAATCTGAACCCATTAATTAAAAATATTTGAGGCTGTTGCTTAATGGATTTGAATGTGACCTAGGTTTAGTTGTATTTGAATAACAATTTGCACCAACTCCTCTGCCCTTCTGGCACCAGAATATCTCAGTACATAAACACTTTGGGCTAACTCCCCCAAGCCTCACAATTTTATAAAGATGCCTAAGCAAATACCACACAATTTCTCGGCAATGAGTTATCTTGTCACACTAAATAGGACTGCAGGAAATGCATGACTTGGAAACACCAAAATAACAGTTTTCTGTCACTTTTGTCAATAAGCAATTTTTCCTTGCTTCCTGTATACTCATTACCTGTGACTTACGATGGAACAGATGTATTGAGGTCAAATACCACGGCTGAGGGTTGAATGACAACAGGGCAGGCAGGGCAAATTCACCACCTTCAACTGTAAATTTCTGCATGCTGATGGGCTTGCCACACATTAGTACCTTAACCAAACCAAACTGCTTTCTCTCTGATAGCCAAATCCCTAAATCCCCTTGTCCTGTCTCTCTGCCTACTTACAGATATCCCTAGCACAGATTTACAAGACAATATGGCAACAGTGCACTCAAGTACCAAAGCTTAGCTCCTCTGGAGAAAATATTTTTATTTACTTCATTTATCCTCTGCCCGGACCTCAGAAGCCCAGAATCTAATGTTCCAGGTGAGGGAACATCTCCATGGTGGCAATTCCGGCTCCAGCAATGAGTGTTTCTCAACAGAGGGATTACATGTTCTAAAATTGAAATTTCAACTAATGCTAAGCAAGAAAGAACAGATGAAGCACCGTATGTTTTATTCATGGCACAGGACTGGGACATCCTGACACATGAACAAAGAGACCAGTAACACTCAGATTTCTTTCTCTTTGTAAAAGAAGAAACAGAATTCTTCTAAATCCCTAAGTGAAGCACTTCGCAAAAGTTCTTTTAAATATGGACAAAGTAGTTCTTTTAAGAATTCTGCATGGGTTTGATTATTATTTTGTATTATTTCTAGTTCTTCCTGTGTAAGTGTTAACACCCTTAAAGTTACATGTTTACGTCCTCCAGCACATCTGTATGCTCCTTGTGGGCAAAGCTACCTGAGTCTTCCCTGTAGACAATGGTTACAATAAGGCCTGGAATATACCTGGGACTTAATACACATTTGCTGGATGAATGAGCAAAAGCATAAATACTAAGAAATTAGATCTTCCTAGCAATCAAACGTCTCTGTGCTCTAGGGAGGGTGACCACATTTGTGTGTAGCAGTGTGTGGGGATGTGCTTTTGCTCTGGAATTTAGAGGGGTTATGGATTCAGATCTCTGCACACTACTTCTAAGTAGTGGAGCTCTTGGGCTATCACTCACAGGGCCTGGAGATGTGAGCAACATCAAGGAGGAAGGCATGAGGTACCTAGGGTGCAGCATCCTTTGCTTGGGAGATCTAAACCATCTAGATGCATGACTCATGAGAAGAAGAAGAAATCACTAGCAGGGCACGGTCCTAAGATCCCAGATGCCAGTGGGTTTCATCTGGACTCCTTTCTTCATTCTTTATACAATTACAGGTTGGAATCCCTTATCTGAACTACTCAGGACCAGAAGCAGTTCAGATTTTCTCAGTATTTGTATACACATGAAGTATTTTGGGGATGGGATCCACATCTAAACATGAAATTCATGTATGTTTTACATATACTTTATAAACAGACTAAAGTAGTTTTATACAATATTTTCAGCATGCCTATGTTTTGACTGTGACCTAAAATGTAAGGTTAGCTGTGGAATTTTCAACTTGTGACACTCTGCCAGGACTCAGAAAGTTGTGGAATTGGGACCATTTTGGATTTCTGATTTTTAGACTGGCAATGCCCAAATGTATTCTACAAGCTAGGGAGTCTTCCAGGCAACATGGTAACATACCTGTGAACAGAAAAGCAAAACCCCTCTAAATACATGGAGCAGTGTGGAGTCTGGTCCCAGAAGCAGTGGAACCTCAAATGCCACAGCTGACTGTTCTTTGGGTGAGGTGGGAATGGGAGTGGGGGCAGGCATGAAGACAGGACAAAATGGGCAGCACACACTGCACATTTGCTAAGCCTGTTCAGGCCTCCAGATGAGTCGACATGGCCGGGATCCAGGATCACCAAGGCTCACCAAAGTCTTGGAAGAGGGAATGGTGAGAGGTTTGGATAGAGAAGGGTCCAGACGCAGCATGAGCAACAGAAGTGGCTTCCCCTGGTAGATCACAGCCAGGATCCGTTCTGGACTGCAGAAAGGAAGGTACCCAATCTGGCTCAAAAATCACAGCTCCAGCACCTTTCCATCCCTGTGTAGGACGATGATGCCCTATTTGGTATGACATATAGAATAAGGAGCTTCCCAAGGGAAGGTAGAGGATAGAGACACAAAGAGGTTAAAACTAGGAGGCCAAAGAAAGAAACCACATTACAGGAGATAGAGATTTAAACCAAAAATGAAAACAAGTCACCCTGATGAGTCCTGTTTGCTGGTTCCAACTGGACTTTTGGACTTTGTTGTACCGAATGACTCATCTGTGATAATAAATAAATAATAAATTTATTAATAATATAATAATTTATATAATAAATTCATCCATCCAAATTTATGCTCCTAGCAGAAGGATCTTCTAGAGTCCAACAACTTCCGAGCTCTTTTAGCCATGATTGTAGCGCAACACTCCAGCCTCTGTAGGCTCCTTGAAACAAGCATGTTCAAGACACCTAGGCCCCTAATGGCAGGCTAGGACAAAATTCTGCTGAGTAGAGGGTTTTCTGAGCTTGGTGCAGAGATTCAAAGATGGCCCATAAAGAAAAATAATGAGTTTGAAGCTGATTAAACATCTATCATCTCTGTATGTCTCAAAAGCTCTCAAGGAGACCTACTTGCTTTTCTCTCCAGTAATGAGTCCAAGGAGCCTGCAAATCTCATTCATTCCACACATGTTTGCTCCTGGGCAGCTCCCATCCCCCCACCCTCCTCCCCGACTTCCAATGTGGATTGGAATAAATCTATTTTAAATTTCTGGGAGACACAGAGGAAGGCGTTAGAGGCAGAAACAGTTATAAATGCAAAGCCTGACTGCTCTTTCATGTCATTATTCCAAATCCCAACATTCATTCATTCCACTGCCTGCTGTCCTGTCCTGGGGGTAGGGAGTCTCTGGGATACACTACCTGAGCCCCACTGTATTTGCCAAGTGTCAGAACCATAATTCCACTCAGAGTACTTTAATATATGCTTGTCAGATAAGCAGGCACTAGGTAATGGGATCGGTGACATCTTCAGAAGGTTACCTAGTTTTCAAGGATGAATGTATGCCCTCTGTGCTCAAACTTCCAGCTGCACGCCTTAGTTAGTCTCTGGCTTTGTGGGCCGAGGCCTAACTGGGTCTCTCTTCTTGTCTTCCCTGGAAATCAGGGACATCAGCTTTGGCCTATTTTCCATTCTCTGACAAGGTAAATGGAAGGTAGGTAAGGAAGGGCTCTTTTAAAATGTGTTAGGCTGAGCAAGACATTCACGAGGCTAGCTTAATAGAAGTGTGCGAGACAGTAATGACATGCTGCTGAAAACCAGCTCTGCCAAATGCTATTTTCAAGGATCTTGAACTTTTTCTACACCCTCATGTGGAGAAAAGTAAAATGAGGAAAATGGCAAAAAAACAGCACAGCTGTTAAAGGGCCTGGACACACTAACGATTCTAAAGTGTCAACCTAAGACAAAGGTGATGGGAAGCAAGACAGTGAAACTGGGATACACGTCACTCCTGGAAGGTCACAGTTGTAAGACTACAGTGGCCTTGAAGGAAATAAAATCTTAATTAAAACAAAGCAGGTCATTGGCCAAAGAGTTAAAGAATTTCTCAAACTATTTTATTGATGGCACCACGCAACTGACTTGGAGGTACTGAGAGATGGAGGAACTGAGGCCAAAAGGACATCTGTATTCTTAGGGTTGGTTGGTGCCCATAAGGGTTCTTAAATTTCGGTGTTGATGAGGATGGTATGACAAGGGCCTAGAAAAGCTTTAATTTGCAATTTAAAAATCCAGAGTTGGAGCCACCTTCACAACTTGACCTAAGTTTACCAAGGCCAAGCCCAACAACTCTAGAGATAACAATACTTGCTGTGTCTACCTCTTAAGGTTGGTGTGAGAGTCAAAGCATGTGAATGTATCATCTAAAACCCAAGCATCCCACAGGACTGGCAATCGTTATTATGCTGCAGAAGTCCATCTGCTGAACTTTTCTCCCCCACCTTGAATATAAAAACAGAGAGAGCCGAGGCAGAGACCAGGCTGAGAGATTCACCTTCTTTTTTGAGACAGGGTCTTGCTACGTAGTTCAAGCTGGCCTTGAAAGTACCACAATCTTCTTGCCTTAGCCTCCTGAGTGCTGGAATTACAGGAGTGTGCCACCATGCCCAGCTGAGAAGTCCACTATTGATAATAAACTTCTCTATGATATATTAGGGGAGGGATATACGTGCTTCACTCAGTCTTGTATCTCACATACAATGCCTGGCCCAAAGCATCTACTTAATAATTGTAAACTTCATAAATAAGAACTTACTAATAAACATGAGAGGGTTTACCTAATATACTCAAGTGCCAGCTGATCCTTCAAGGCTGACTTATGAGGTGCCTTACTTCATTTGGTACTTCCATGGTGGGGTTAGAAACGACACAGACCATTGTATGGACATGCTCCATGTCATCATGCCCAGCCAAATAATCCTCACTACCTACACCTCAGAGACTGGTCTCTGCCTATGCCTGTGACAATCAGATTCTCTTCTCATCAAATTTTATCTTACACTATTTTCCATCACTCAGACAAGGTGGATTGGTTTCTAGTTCTTTCCTGAATGTCATCATCATGTTGGTCATGTGATTCTGGCCCAAGTACCAGGTGCATCCACACCTCAGCCATCTCTTACAACTTTCACGATGCAGTCCTTAACCCTTGAGCTGGTAGGGATATTTTTCCTCACCCGAACTCCAGTGTCCTATATATGCTTGTTGAATGAGGAGGTGTGAGGGAGAGCTGGCTTGGGAGCACACATGGGTGCCTGGGGAGAATTCAGCACTTCCAGCCTATTGTGAAAGGTGCTATCAGGAAGTCTATCTCCAGGCAGGGGCCACACCCTTCCCATTTGCAGAGAAGGTCCCCCATAAATATAGTTCTTAAACATTTTTTAATTGAACACTTTCTTTTTCCTTTTACCAAATCATTAAACCTGTAGCAACCTCCTTCCACAATGACTTATCAGCAATAGCTGATAAGTCGCTGCCCAGTCATAACCTAAAAAGCTATTGCATCCTTAAAAGAAAAAAAAGCATGAAAGACTCTGATCGCATTTAAAAACCTTCCACATCTACAGTAAACTTTTACAATTACCTTGGTTTCTCGCAGAAGAAACTGTAGGTCCCGTCCACTGAGGATACCGTGGTTTTCCACGTAACTAGGGATGTTCTTTGTGCTGGAACCATAAACAGTTGCATGCACTTCCATGTAAGTGTGAATGATATCCAGGTAGATCTTCTTATTCTAAAGAGAAACACAAGCAAAAGAAATTTTTTTCATTCACATAAGAACCCATCTCATAGGATAGAACCTCCGTTATATGCTAGAGACCACAGAGACGGAATTCTTAATATGGAGATGGCAGGAGTTTGGCAATCTGATTACTGAAATCTCTTTTTAAAGTGAGCTGGTTGGATTTTGAGGCAAAAAGCAGTCACATTACCACTGCATAAGTTATGGCAACATATAGCTGAATATCAATGATAGCTCATGAACAACTCTTTTGAAGTATCATCCTCACTTTGAATAGCACCAGGGACTCAACACATTGTTTTTGGCTTATCCTCTTTATGGGGTAGGAAGTTTGAGGAAAGAAGGCCCAGAAAAGACAGTTGGTTGAGCTAAAATATTTATCTGGAGAGGTTAAATTGTCCCTAAGGAACACAAACATCCCCAGTTTTTGCCAAAATTCCTCCTGATGAATAACTCATATTAGAATTGGATCTCAGTTAATTCTGATCATGAGGGGAGAGTTTCCCACAATGTGTATTCATTGACTCAGCTTCTGGAAAGATGAGAATATCCAGGTAGGCAAAATGAGAAAGAGATTTAATGGCAAGTTTGGTGAGCAGTGAAACATTCAAGAGCAGTTTTAATTTTTATTAGAACCCCTTCCCTGGGTTTGTAGGACTGAATTCATGACACGTTTTCTAAATGAAAACCACTTGTGAAGTGGAAGCAGGTTCACTTTCCCTTCCTCTTCATGTTTCTGTGTGACTAAGTTGTATAAACTGGATTTTGTACAGTGTAGGGACTCCCCTCCCCCCATTTGAAAGCCCCTAGTTCTGTAAGGTTTTTCAGTTGTATCAGAGTGGGACAAGGTTTTCCCATTATATACTCTTTTCAAACACTTGCCAAATCTAGTAACAGCTGGTTCTGTGACTTAAGACTCTAGGAACATGGGGGCTGGCAACATTGTACAGGGAAGGGGAGGCAGGGCTGAATGTGGTGGGTCATGATCTGCCCCTCTGCCAGAGTGCCCTGGTGACTGTTACACGGGACTTCTAACTTTGGGGGGAAATCTTTCAAATCATTACTTGAGAAGTCTTCATGAGCAGAAAACTAGAAACCCCCATTTCTTTATTTCATGCATCAGAATGACTTTTTGGCTCATGCAGCCCCTCCCTGCAGCCTAATCTATGAATACAATAAACTTTTGAACTGAAAGTGAAATGACTTCCCACTTGAAGCTTGAGCCACCCTTGGAACACCTACTAGAAAAGTTAACTGGAAAAGTTCTAGAATACGGTTCTTGTGCTAGAGGCATCTGACAACTTCTGTAAGTCCTTCTTCCTCAAGTCCCTGGTTAAGTAGGTAGGAGACCCTGTAATCCTGACCTCTCCCTTGCTGACCGGCCCAGAGTGGGTCAAACCAGAAAGGACCCAGTTCTAGGCCACCAGCAGGCTGGGAATGGTGTGGTAGGCTGAGGGAGAGGAAGGGAATCCACCAGATCCCCCTAGCAGTCAGGGGAAACACAGAGCCAGTGACTATGGGCATCAGAGCAAAAAGATCATTTGGTGTTGGAGTTTGTGCAATTATGGGCCAGGTAACAAGGTTCTGAGGCTGTCAGCTGCCAGATGGGAAAGAACAAAACAGGAGCTAAAAGGAAGGAGAGGAGAAGGCAGATAGACAGATGGTCATGAGAGGAATCTAGACCTGGCATCAATGGAGACAGCATCTCTGTGAGCATGATGAAACAGAGAGACCGAGGAGGAGGAGGAGGAACAGGAAGAAGGCAAAGAGGAGATGAGAATGAGAAAACAGAAAGAAATACCTGCACTGGTGCCCACCAACTGGCAGCTGTTTTTTATCCTAAATTCCCTGGGTCTTTGTGGATCCCTATAGAAATAGTAGGTAGCCAAGCTTTTCCCAGACCCTACCTCACATTTTCACTTGTGGCACCTGGATGAATTCCAAAAGGAGGCCTCTCAGGACTCATGCTGGTTTTGAAGCAGGGACTTAGGGTAAAGACAGGCACCTCTCCTTGATGCAAAAGGAGACACTTCCTGGTAAAAGTTAGCTGCTAAGTAGTGAGGATGGACCACAGGCCCTAACTAAGGTCTAGGATGAGCTACAGGCAAAACAGCAAAAGCTCCATCTGCTTCCCATCCTACAAACATTCACTGCAGAAAAACTCAAGATTAGGATCCCAGACTAAATGCCCGAGAAAAGAACCATATACTAGATAATACACATGTGGCCATCAAATCCCAGAAAAGGTCAGGGCTCAAGTTCAGGCAGACAGAGGTCTCTGTAAAAGCTAATAAAGTCTACAAACTTATTAACATTTAGGTATGGTAAAGTCTAAAAGCAGAAATTACTTTCAGAGAGGATTTATATAATCTCACGAACAAGAAAAGCCCAGCAGGTGATCAGAAGGAAAAATGTTTCAAGCATAACTCTAACCTTTGAAGTTGACATGGCAATTAGATAACTACCTCAGCTCTCTTGTGCAGAAATCTGGTGAGGCTGAACCATGCTATGTATTCCAGATAAAGGTGCCACTGATGCCTCTCGAGCTGAGCTGAGCCATACACACTCCCAGGGCAAACACTCCCTGGATGCTAAGGGCATTCAGTGAGGTATTTGTAGCTCAGATCTCTTTCCTGAATTTTGAGTCCAGGTAACAAACTGTCTCCTGAAATTTTCCACCTGGGATGCTGCAGCCACTTCTAAGCGGGTGCCCCCATACCCAACCAGCATCCCTTGATCTGCTCTTGAGCTCAGTGAGTGGTGTCAATCTCCCCACCAGGAACCTGGATGACAGTCACGCTTATTGTTCCTGTACTTCCCAAACCTCCAAATACATGCATCAAATAAGTAACAAAGTCCAGTTGATGCTACCTCTACAATATCAAGTTGGTCTCTTCCGCTTCAGGCCTTGGATCCTTGCTCATCTGGCTTGCACCAGTATTAAAACTATCAGCACTTTCACACATGTCTGTGTGGCTCAAAAGATGACACAACTAGTCCATGGTTTCTGCAAGTAAGCAGCAGTGTTGGGACTCACTGCAAAAGAATTTGTATGGGTTGATGCTACTTTGCAAATTTTTTTAACCATGCAAAGCAATATTATGCATATGGATGATGTTTATACATGTGGACATTTGTAGTTGAAGTACAAAACTATGCATGAGGTTAACATAAAAACTTCCAGATACTGATTATGGAGGAGGGATGGTTTGGCACAGTAGCCAGAGCTTCAGTGCTATTTGTAATATATCACTTATATGTTAAAAATATTCCAAGATGCTAACATCTGTAAAGCTGGGTGATATCTAGATGTCTACTATGATTTGAATGTGTCTTCCAAAAGTCTGTGTGTGGCAAATCCATCTGTTAATGGTATTTGGAGGTGGGCCTTTGAATGTAATTAGGGTTAGATAAGGTCACGAGGGCAGGGTCCCCGTGATAGCATTAGAGGCTGTATGAGAAGGGGAAGAGACCTAAGTAGCAGGCACGCTTGATCTGTCTCACCAAGTAAAGCCCGCCATGCTACAAGGTAGCAAGAAGGCCCTCAGCAGACCCCAGGCAGATGCCGAGCACTGTGCTCTTGAGACTTCTCAGCCTCCCGATCTGTGGGCCAAATAAGCCTCTACCGTCTATAAATTACTCAGTCTCAGATACTTGGTTATAGCAGCAGAAAATGAACTAAGACTAGTTTTTAAAAACACTTCTGTATATTTGATGTATTTCACAATTAAGATATAAACATTTAAAATAGATACAATCATTAATAAACAATGCTCAGCTTGTCCAAAACTCCAAAGCTTGTACCCCTGACATCATACCAGAAGGCTTAGTTCTTGCCATAAAGGGATTCAATGTACACTGTACGCTGCTAAGTATTAGGTTTAAGGAAAAAAGGGCCGAGGTTTCTTAAATGAAGCATGGCCCTGCCTGTCTTTCCCTAACTCAGGAGAGGGCCAAAAGAAGGAAGTGGTACAAAGACACGGACAGGGGCATCTTCCAGCACGCGTACCATCCCTCCCTTAGTTTGGTTATCCAGGCCTGGATGAAGGTGACACCATCACCCAGGAGGTGACCCAGGAGTCCCACTGACCTAAGAACTAGGTGAAAGTCACTCCCTAAGAAGCTTTCCTTCTCTGACTTAAGAGGTCAAGATAAAAAAAAAAAAATTATTCCCAAAGCCTTATCACCAACTGATTTCTTCAAACATAGCCAAAAGGGGCTTGCAGTGAGCATGACACCACAGCACCCCGCTTCTCCTGCCTCAGAGCCATGGGAAATGCCTCCATGAGGTCCCAGCTCAGCCACTCAGCAGCCCTTAATGCTTTCAGTCTCTGGTTCAATTTAAATTCCCATTAAAAACAACTGATCTAACTGATTAAAATTTAAACTACCTAACCTCATTTTGGGGGGAGGAGAGTCAAAGGAAAAGGAGAATGCAAGCTCGAGTCAAGGAGCATTGTTGTCGGCGGCGTGTCTCTGGCTGTTTATGGCTGTAGCTGGAGGCAGGTACATTTGCAGAACTGCTGGGTAAGATGTTTAGAGCTTGGATGGAGAGCTTTAGGAAAACAATTCAATCTAAGCCTCACACCCATGAGTCCAAAGCAGGGCAGAGGCAAAATGCACAACTGGAGAATCAGATACTCTTGTCCAACTTCTCTTGTAGCTGGGGAGCTGGAGGTATAGGAATGTTCTCAGGCAAATGCTAGTTTTTGTGCTTGGGGATGGAGTGGATACTATGTAATTCTCCCCAGTAACAACTCTGATCCCCCACTGCAGACACACGCATCTTTTCTGGGTACCATTTGCCCTCATCAATCTGGCACCTGCCTGTGATCTGCTGCTTTTCAAAAAATAATTTTATGACCCTTCCGAGAGTTGGTTTGTCCAGTGGCTGGCACCTGGTGAGTCTGAGTTGGTGGGAATCATCCTGGGGAAGTGTGGATGGGTACGGGAAGTCAAACTCTCTCCAGAGTGACAGAAGGGAGCCTGAC